TCGATCTTTTGGGTACATGGGGGCTCGGTGTGGAAGGACGCTGCGCTTGGAATGCGTGGAAACCCGGGCAGGCGCGGGCGCGCGCGAGTCTACGTGGGGAAAAGAGCGAGAGATTATGGCAAAGCTCTCTTCGTAACGTTGCATGCGTTCTGCCTTGTGCAGCAATGCTCCTGCAGGCTCTTTCCACCATCCACAACCACCCTTCCTTTTTTTGTTCATCCCCACTTGTAAGAAGGATGGCTGTCGTTCCTTCTTTTTGCAAAGAGGTGATGGCACTCATTTGGGTTTTTGGGGGGGAGGGAGGGGCTACCATTTGCATTTGCTAATGGTGCTCCCCCTTTCCTCCCTCCCCCAAAGCCACAGTACCATTACATTTAGAAAGCTCCTCTAATTCTTCTAAGCAGGATCGATCAGTAGAATCAATTCAGTCCTTTTGATTTCTGCATATAATTCTTGCCTTCGTGGAGCTAAAGCCTTGAGTTGTACTACAGCTCCAATCCTTCCCCTTTGGCACAGCCATTGGCTTTCTGAATTCTCTTATGCTGCTATTGTATTGTAAGAGAACCTGAGAGAGCACTTACAATAGAAGAGAATATCTGCAGCTCAGGATTGAATTGTGGAGTCCTCGGTGTTCTCTGAGCTTGGTTGTTTGATTGCTGACATTTCATTACCCAACTAGGTAACATCAGTGCTTGTGAGTGTGGGATTTGCTCCCTGTTTATATACAGTAGCTTTCCCTGCCATGGTTGGTGGGGGTGTGGTTTTCTCCTTAGCACTCATTACCTGGTTGGGTAATGAAACATCTGCAAGCAAACAACCAAGCTTAGAGAGCACCAAGGACTCCACAGATCACTTACAGGCCTACAAAAAATCTGCTGGATCAGGTGAAAGCCGCAACTTGCCCAGCATTGTGTGACTGACCAGTTGCATCTGGGAGCTCATCGGCAGAACTGGAGAAGTACTTCTCTACTATTGTTGCAGTCCATCAAATGTGATTTAAGGCTTGCTCTCTTTGACTCTGCAGGACCTATGCAGCTATGAAGACTAGAAACCACTGATAGCCCAATCTTCCCTGAATCGTACATTTGAAAGGTGC